AGGGAGGTGGTGGTGGGAGAAACCTGGGGCCTCCTTCTACGCCCTTTGGTGCCCTCACCTGTGGAGTTGGCCTAAAGCCAGGCAGGTGAGACAGCCGAGGATGCAGGTGAGGAGTCTGCCAGGGTGACCAGGACACCTGGGAGGCCCCGCCCAGCCCAGGAGGCTCTAGAGTTTTCCACCTGGGTGTCCTTGTAGAGCCGGGAGTAGATGGAGCGGCTGCAGGAGCCTCTGGACCAGCAGGAGTTGGCAGGTCACACAGGGACCTCCTTGCAGGAGGGGGCTTCTAGCCGCCTTTCCTGGACGGGGGGCAAGTGGGATGTTTGCTCACTGGAGCACAAGTCGAAGGACTGTCACAGCCTCACCTGAGCTGGTCCTCTCGTCAGCCCTGCGAGATGCAGGCTTTCATCCCATCTGACTGATGAGGAAACTGAGGCCCCAGGGGGCAAGTGGTTTGCCCAAATCCCCCAGAGGGTAGAGGCAGAGCTAGGGTGGGAGTCCAGACCCCGGCCCCACCCAGCCGCTCGGCTGCTTGACCAGGTTGGAACTGTGCAGTGGGGTCTCTGAGAGCTGGGGTAGGGTAGTTCTGGTGGGCTTCTGAGAGGAGGTGAGCAGGACCCAAGTCTCGGGGAAAAATGCAGCATTTCTTTATTCAACAAATATGTGGGCCCAGCCCCGTGGCCGAGTAGTTAAAGTTCAGCGCGCTCCGCTTCTGCGGCCCAGGTTCGTGGGTTTGGTTCCCGGGTGCGGACCTACTCCACTTATCAGCCATGCTATGGTGGCATCCCACATAAAAAATAGAGGAAAGGGCCGGCTCCGTGGCTTAGCGGTTAAGTGCGCGCGCTCTGATGCTGGCGGCCCGGGTTCGGATCCCGGGCGCGCCCCGAGGCACCACATCTCCGTCCAACCCGGGGCCGAGTCCCGCGTACAGCAACTAGAAGGATGTGAACCTATGACATACAACTATCTACTGGGGCTTTGGGGGGAAAAAATGAATAAATAAAATCTTTAAAAAAAAAAAAATAGAGGAAGATTGGCATGGATGTTAGCTCAGGGCGGATCTTCCTCAGCAAAAACAAATACGTACTGAACACACACTCCGTGCCCAGCAGCATGCTAGCCCCCTGCCCTCACTTAGTTTACATTCTGGTCCAGGAGACAAGCAGTACCACTAAAAACTGACAAGATCATTTCAGAGGGCAACAAGTCTATGAAGCAGATACAACAGGAAAATAGGACAGTACTCGGGGCAGGGTTGGGGAAGGGCTGCACCTCAGCTGAGGGGGTGAAGGGACAGGAAGAGAGGCCTGAGTGATGAGGAGCTGGCCGTGGAAAGAATGTTCCCAGCAGAAGGAACAGCACATACAAAGGTCCTGAGGCGGCATCGAGCTTGGTGGATTTGCCACAGGCCACGTGGTCTCCTAACTGCCCCTTTCCTTCCTCCACAGCCAAGCGCCCAGCACCGGCCAGGCCCACCATGCCGCCCCCTCAAGTCTCCAGCACCCGCGCCTCCCCTCCGGCCCCACCCCTGGCACCTGGCTCCGGCAGCCCTGTGACCCCCCGGGCTCTGCCCCGCCGTCTGGTGGGCAGCAGCCTCCGGGCCCCCACAGTGCCACCCCCATTGCCCCCCATGCCCCCCCAGCCTGCCCGGCGCCAGAGGCGGTGTTCACCAGCCTCCCCGGGTCCAGCCTCCCCAGGTCCAGCCTCTCCGTGTCCAGCCTCCCCCAGCCCAGTCTCTCTGAGCGGGCCTGCACGGGAGGACCTGGGGGCAGCCACCGAGGAGGGAGGGGCCCCTGAGGCTGTAGGCAGGGCCCCCACTTCCCCACCTAACCCCCCTCAGCCCCGGGCCAGGAGCCTTGCCTCAGAGACTGACTGAGCTAGCGGCTGCTCCCCGACAGCCCTCAGCCTCCCTCCCTCGCCGCCTTGTCCTCCCAGGACACAGCCCTGGCCCCTCCCAAGGGGGGGACCTCCAGCCTTTGCCTGCAAGTGCCTCGGTGCCCGCTGGGTCGGCCCCCACCGCGAGGAGGACTCGGGACAGTCCTCCACTTCCAGACCTTTTCCTCTTGGATCCACCCTGGGCTTGGGGGACCCCTCAGCCGACTCCCCGCTCTCTGGCAGGGTCCCAGGGGAGCCGCCGGAAGGAAAGAGAGCTTGCCTGCTCCTACAGGACTTTTATTTTTCTCTTGCCAACGTGTTTTGTTTGTAAGGCTGGTAAATAAATTATTTTGGACAAAACTGGAACAGCTGCCCAAAGGATCATTTTATTTTCTGTCCTTGAAATAAAGAAGCCACTTTCATAAAAGGGGAAAAAATACCTCTTCTTTGCCTCCTTTCTTGCTTCATGTCTGAAGTAACAGCCTAGGATTTGAGCACTTTCTAGATGCTACACACTGTGCTTTTGTATGCATGATTTCCTTTTAATCCTCTTCCGGGGAAGTAAATCCCGTTCCCTCTTGCAGCTGAGGAGACTGAGGCTCAGAAGGTGACCCTGGAAGGTCACATGGCGAATGAGGCATGGACCTGGGATTGGGACCCAGGTCTGACTGATTCCAGAGCCTGGGCCTGTCCCTCACATCCACAGCAATTTATTCAACTTCCTGGTGTTCTGGTTTCCTCATCTGTGAAACCGTGTAACCACTTCCACCACAGAAGTGTTGTTCTGAGGATTAAATGCAACCCTCCCATAAAGACCAAAGCACACAGGAGCCCCCTGTGGTGATGGCTGCTGTTGATGCTGTGTCCTCAGAGAAGGTGTAGAAGGATCCCCAAGGAGCAGGGTTGGATCTGTCCTCAAACATTCCCTGAGGCTGCTCCGGGCCAGACCCTGGGCTGGGTCCCTGACTCAGCCCGACACCCAAGGAATCCTGGGAACAGACAGGCAGGAGAACTGACAATTAGAATCAAGTGTCACGGCACGGGGAGCCCAGGTTAACCCAGTTAAGGGCAAGCCATTTAACCCAGACTGGTACGTGTGTATGTATGTGGGTGGAGGTCAAGGAAGGCTTCCTGGAGGAGGTGATATCGAAGGGGAGTCTCTCAGGACTTGGCCGGGTAAAAGAGGGAAGAAGGAAGAAATTCCAAGCCAAGGAGACCACCTATGCAAAGGCCGGGAGCAAAAGCCCAAGGCACTGGGGAACAGAAGACATGTGAGCCTCAGAGGCTGAGTGACAAGAGTGTGGCTTTTCTCAGGTCTTTGGACCTCCAGTTGCTTCTGGGGGTCAGACAGGTCTTCAGAGCCTTCTCAGAAATTGGCAGACAACCTCAGAATTGTGACACATCCCTCCCCAAGTGGGGATCTAGGCAGGCGGGAAACCCCATCACTGCCCTGGGCAACTGGCAACTGCTGCTCTGGCTCCTTCCCTACCTGCCTGGTGACAGGCTGCCTTTAGCCCAGTGCATCTCTACCCCAGCCTCACAGTAGAAGCCCCGGGGGGAATTAAAAAACATAGAAACCACGGCCGGCCCGGTGGCACAGTGGTTAAGTTTGTGCACTCTGCTTCGGCAGCCTGGGCTTTGCGGGCCCAGATGTCAGGTGCGGACCTAAGCGCTGCTCATCAAACCATACTGCGGCAGCGTCCCATCTATAAGGTAGAGGAAGATGAGCACAGATGTTAGCTCAGGGACAATCTCCCTCAGCAAAAAGAGGAGGATTGGCAACAGATGTTAGCTCAGGGCCAATCTTCCTCACCAAAACCCAAACAAAACAAAACAAAACACCAAAGAAACCAAAAACTACCAGGCCCCACCCAGAAAATTAAATCAGAATCTCTGAGGTCCTGCCATGGATTGGTTGTTTTGTTTTGGTTTGGTTTTGGTGAGGAAGATTGGCCCTGAGCTAACATCTGTTGCCAATCTTCCTCTTTTTCTTTTTTCTCCCCAAAGCCCCAATAGATAGTTGTCTGTCATAGTTGCACATCCTTCTAGTTGCTCTCTGTGGGACGCCGCCTCAGCATGGCTTGATGAGCGGTGAGGAGGTTCGCACCCAGGATCCGAACCTGCGAACCCCAGGCCAGTGAAGCGAAGTGCACAAACTTAACCACTATGCCACCAGGCTGGACCCTGGACTGATATTTTTAAAAAGCACTTGTCAAGTCATCGAACTGTGAGTTTAAGATCTATGCCTCTTATATCTCAAAAGTAAATTACATGTGTGTAAATTACATCTCAAAAAATCACTTCCAGGGCCAGCCCCAACAGCTTAGTCGTTAAGTTCAGTCGTTAAGTTCCGTGCGCTCTGCTTCCGCAGCCAGGGTTCGTTTCTTGGGCACAGATATATATACCACACGTCTCTCAGTGGCCATGCTGTGGCAGCAGCTCACATACAAAAAGAGGAAGATTGGCAACAGATGTTAGCTCAGGGCGAATCTTCCTCAGCAAAAACAGAAAAAATAAAAATCAGTTCCCCAGGGGACTCTACAGCACAGCCAGCGTGGAGAACCACTGGTCCACGCCAAGGGCTCCAGAGTCCAAGAAGACACCATGCACCTCTCTCCCCATCACACCCACACGCTGCTCAGGACTTGCTCAGAACTGGAGCGTCGACGGTTCAAAGGGCAATGAGACTCAACCCAAACACGACATTTCCTTTGGCATCTGTTTTCCTCCTAGCAACCAGCTCTCCTAAGCTTCTGATTGGCTGAGGACCGGGGGTCGGCTATTCGTTCCACATTTCCTACTCGTAACTCATTATTGGTCACAAAAAGCGTCAGTCTCCCAGAGAGGCGGGGGGGGTGGAAACTCGGCGGAGACTGGCTCAACAGAGCTAGGGGGCGGGGCGAAGGACCAAGCCAGGCCTTCATTGGTCCCCTTGCCTCGGTTTCGGCCACGATTCCGCCCTTTTCTCCAAGCTCCGTTAGCTCCCGGCCCCGCTCCTCTCCGAGACTCGCCCCCATTGGCCGCAGGCCAGGCCGCGACCCCGCCCCCCGGCGCTTCCGGCGCGCTGACTGGCAGGTGCGGGGGCCGCGCCGAAGGCGTGGAGCGCGCCGTGCCCGCGGAGGGAGAGCGGCGCGGCGCGGCGTGCGTGCGTGCGTGCGGGCAGCCAGCCGGCTGCATGGCGCGCTGCGAGCGGCTGCGCGGCGCGGGTCTGCGCGACGTGCTGGGCCGGGCTCAGGGGGTCCTGTTCGACTGCGACGGGGTGCTGTGGAACGGCGAGCGCGCCGTGCCGGGCGCCCCGGAGCTGGTGCAGCGGCTGGCGCGGGCCGGCAAGGCGGCGCTGTTCGTGAGCAACAACAGCCGGCGCGCGCGGCCCGAGCTCGCCCTCCGCTTCGCGCGCCTCGGCTTCGGGGGGCTGCGCGCCGAGCAGCTCTTCAGCTCCGCGGTGTGCGCCGCGCGCCTGCTGCGCCAGCGCCTGCTCGGGCCGCCCGACGCGCCGGGCTCCGTGTTCGTGCTGGGCGGCGAGGGGCTGCGCGCCGAGCTGCGCGCCGCGGGGCTGCGCCTGGCCGGGGACCCCGGCGAGGACCCGGGCGCGGCCCCGCGCGTGCGCGCCGTGCTCGTGGGCTACGACGAGCACTTCTCCTTCGCCAAGCTGAGCGAGGCGTGCGCGCACCTGCGCGACCCCGACTGCCTGCTCGTGGCCACCGACCGCGACCCGTGGCACCCGCTCAGCGACGGCAGCCGGACCCCCGGTGAGCACGGGGCTGGCGGGGACGCGAGGTGGGGGGGCGACCTGCGCTTTCACCTCCGCGCTTGGGGGTGAGGGGCGGGGAAGGGGCGTCTCCAGGTGACAGGTGGGGAACAGGAGGGATGCGAGGGCGGCCCCCACCCAGCAAGAACCCACGTGTCCACGTCTGGTAATTCTTGCAGCCGCCACCCTGGGAGGAGCAGCAGTGGGGTCCCCGTTGGACACATGAGAAAACTGAAGCCCGTTGTGGCTCAGGGGGTTGCAGGTCCCCGACTCCCGGCCTTGGCCTTCCTGAACCAGCCTCAAAGACTCCTATCATTTTGTCCCACCCACCGTCGGGGTGAGGTTGGAGAGGTGGGGACAAAGCCTGGAAGGATTGTTCTGTGGGAGGTTGGAGCACCATTCCCAGGGGCAGGTTGGAGGCAGGTGTGTGGGGAGCACAGGAGGTGGATGGAGTTTGACCGAGTTGGAGTTCCAGCACCAGGCTCTGTTATTTTGCCGAGTTACATAACCTCCGAGCTTCTCTGTCCTGGGGGTAAAATGGGAATGCTAACCGTGCTAGTTTCATCCGAGGGGAGAGTGATCAGGGTGAGTGCCTGGCACTGGTAGGTGCTCAGGTGATGGAAGTTGTATCCCGAGCCCTCTCATGTTAAGAGCTTTATGAAGCATCTTGGTATCTGTTCTTTTTTTTTTGGTGAGGAGGATCGGCCCTGAGCTAATATCCCTTGCCAATCTTTCTCTTTTTGCTGAGGAAGATTAGCCCTGAGCTGACATCTGTGCCCATCTTCCCCTATTTTGTAGATGGGTTGCTGTCGCAGCATGGTTTGATGAGCAGTGCATAGTTCCGTGCCCGGGATCCGAACCTGCAAACCCTGGGCCATGGAAGCGGAGTGTGTGGACTTAACCACTGTGCCACTGGGCCAGCTTCTGATATCTGTTCTTATTTAGTTTCCACATTACTCTGGAGATGGGAGTTATTGTCCCACTTCTCAGTTAAAGAAACAGAGGCTGCGGGCTGGCCTGGTGGCATAGTAGTTAAGTTCGCGCGCTCCACTTTGGCTCAGGGTTCGCGGGTTTGGATCCTTGGCGTGGACCTACACATGGCTTATCAAGCCATGCTGTGGCGGCATCCCATATAAAGCAGAGGAAGATGGGCACGGATGTTAGCCCAGGGCCAATCTTCCTCAGCAAAAAGAGGAGGATTGGCAACAGATGTTAGCTCAGGGCCAATCTTCCTTACCAAAAAAAAAAAAGAAAAGAAACTGAGGCTAAGAGAGGGGATGTGAGCTGCTCAAGAGCACAGGGACCTGAACTTGGCACTTGTGCTCACCCCCTGCCTCCCCACCCTCCACGGAGAGCTCTTCGGTGCTGTTATCTTGGGTATTCAGACCTGCAGAGGAGGCAGGAGCAGGCGGAGGCTCCTACATCTTGGAGGGTTCAAGTCAGACAAGAGCAGATGGCAGCAGAGGCTGAGAGTAGTGTGTAGATGAGTCAGTACCCCAGCCAGTAGGCTGAGGGCCAGGACGAATCTCCATCACTCCCTCTCTGCTGACCACTGACCCAGACGGTCATTGATACCACATCCTGGGGGGCAGGGTGGTATTGAGCGAAGAGTAGACACAGTATTATGATGCAGTGGCAAGGAGGGCCTAGAGCTGAGGGGATCTGGGAAGGCTTCCTGGAGGAGGCATCGTGCAGGACAGGGTTCTAGGGGATAAAACATGGAACAGGGCTTGGGCCATGGTAGGACCACTTCCAGGCTGGGAATCTATAGTTCTAGGCCTGTCGTAGCTTGGCTGCAGACCTACTTGCTGTGTGACCCCCTCAGTCTCAGTTTTCCCTTAAATCCAAGGGGAGGGCTCTGGCCAGGGCTCCCAGCTGCAGCAGCTCTGCCTGCCCTGGGCCGTGCTATGAAAAGTAAGTTTCTCCCTGGAGGCCTCAGAGCTCGGGGTAAGGCTGTGGGTTAAGAAGCCCCCCAGGGCTCAGGAAGGGTGGTGTGGAGGAGCAGAGGAGAGCCCAGGCCCTGCCATGCCTTCCCCTTAGGTCTCCAGCACCCACCTGGCTGTGCCCGCCTGCTCTGCTGGTTGTTCCCACAGCCTAGAGGGGGAGACAGAGGCTTAAAAACAGCACTGCTGTCCTATTTGTGCCCGACTGAATGGTGCAGCTTTGAAAGTGATATAAAAATATTAATAAAGGCCCCCGTTATGCATAAATCTGAAATGATGCAACTCTCTTGTCCCAGTTTCCCCTCCCCTGCCCCATGGGTCTCCTAAATGGCGTGTTTACCTTGTTAGACCACATGGCAGCCACTTGAGCTGGCAAATAGAAATGCTGCTGTCTTAGGAGCACGTCACCAGCAAAACATGTGACAGCTTGGATGACAGGATGTTGAGAAAAGTGGATGACAGTGGTGTGAGGACAAAGTTCCCTTCGTAGACTCCCCTGCCAGGATGCTCACTCCCCCGGGGCCGGATCTTCGTTGCATTCACTGCTCCGTCCCCACTGCCTGGCTGGTGCCTGGCCTGTAGCTGGGCCTCAGTATATACTGAGTGAACGAAGCAGGACGTCGGGGCCAAGAGTGGTCAGCTCTGTCCTGGTGGGAAAGGAAGTTGCTAACAGAGCTGAGACCGTTCTTGAGCTGAGAACAACACCTTGGGGTGACTCAGTTGAGTCCTTCCCATCCTGGAAGGAATTTCTAACCTACGGGCAAATGGCTTTTCTTTCCTCCCCAGTTCTCAAGAAAACAAGCTGGCAAGCCCTAGGTCAGACGCCAGGGAGAACCCCCAGCGTGTTGCTCTGGGCCAGCTCTGCCCTCATCTTGTGACACTGGGGGAGTTCCTTCTCATCTGGGGGGCCGCAGGGCTGAGGATTCTTGGTGTTTGTGCCCGCATTAACCTTCTGTGCCTTTGGTCATTACTGTGAGAAGGGAGACAGAAGGCCCAGAGCATTTGGGGTCAGCCCAGTCATGTACTGATGAAGGTTTCATAACTGGGGGAGCCCTGATTCACACCATTCGCCAGATTCTGTGGTGTGAATACTCCCACTATGGCCCATTTCAAGCTTCCGATGTTTACTCCCTGTCCATGGAGTTGGGAAGATATGTACACTCCACTGTATGGTGTTTCCATCATGGCAGATGTCAGTAACCCCAAGAGCATAGACAATGGTACAATAATTAGGAACTGATGAGTTCTGAGAATTTCTTAACTTTGTTCTAACATAATTCATGCGATTGTAAGTTCATATAAGTTGACTTTTTTTTTTTTTTAATAATTTTATTTATTTTTTTTCCCCCAAAGCCCCAGTAGATAGTTGTATGTCATAGCTGCACATCCTTCTAGTTGCTGTATGTGGGACGCGGCCTCAGCGTGGCCGGAGAAGCGGTGTGTCGGTGCGCACCCGGGATCCAAACCCGGGCCGCCAGCAGCGGAGCACACACACTTAACCACTAAGCCATGGGGCCGGCCCCATATAAGTTGACTTTTAATAGTGACTTTGTTTAAGGACCAGCCCACAAAATCCCTGAAAATGACACATTCAGCACTCCTGACCCAGTACAAGCTGGCTCAGCACACGACTGGGTCAGACCCACCTGAACGCAGATCCTTCATCTGCCACCTACTAAGCTGTGCAACCCTTATCTGTAAAATGGGGTCCTTGAGCACCCAGCACAGCCCAGGCGCTTTAGACGTGCTTAGTAAGTTGTGATTAGGGGCCAGCCCGGTGGTGTGGTTAAGTTCGTGTGTTCCGCTTCAGCAGCCCGGTTTGCAAGTTCGAATCCTGGGTGCAGACCTACACACTGCTCATCAAGCCATGCTGTGGCAGCGTCCCACATACAAAATAGAGGAAGATGGACACAGATATTAGCTCAGAGCCAATCTTCCTCAGCAAAAAAAAAAAAAATTGTGATTATTATCATCATCATTTGTTCAGGGACATTAGTGTGCAGGCAGAACATTCTGGCACCGAGATGTGCCTGTGGGCCGGGCACAGTGGCCTCATTGTGTGGGGCAGGATGGCACTGGGCTGGGAGTCACAACTCTCCTTCTCTAAACAGCCCTCCTATTGTTAAACACTTGGGCGCCTTCCACAATTTTGCTTATTATAGTTACTGTGGCCATGGACATCTTCAAGCATGTAGCTTTTTGTCTCCAGTTTGAATTCTCTTCTTGTGATCCTCTTCCCGGCGGAGGTGGACTGGGTCAGAGGTGCGAACGTTTCTGTGACCTGCTGTGTTCCCAGTGGGTGGTGCCAGTTTCTGGCACCAGGAGCGCACATTCTTGTAGCAGTAACCACAACTGCTGTTTGCTAAGTGCTTTTCCATTTCCAAAGCACGGGCCCCTCTGATGCCCACAGCGCCTCCTTGAAGGTAGGCATTACTTGGATCCTCCTTTTCCAAGGAGTCCAAGGAAACTCAGAGAGGTTGAGCGGCTTGCCTGAAGGCACACAGCTGCCAGGGTGAAATAGTGAACTTTAGGCAGGACTGAGTGAGCCAGGCTCAGTTACATGCAGTGGCTCATTCAGGCCTTACAAAACACCCATGAGATCAGTGCCATATTAGAGATGGGAAAACTGAGGCCCAGAGGGGTTCAATAGCCTGCCCAGGAAAGGTGGAGATGGAGTCTGAATGCAGGCGTCCAGTTACAGAGTCTGTATTCTTTTTTTTCTTTTTTTTTCTTGAGGAAGATTCGCCTTGAGCTAACATCTTTGCCAGTCTTCCTCTAGTTTGTACGTGGGTTGCCGCCATAGCATGGCCGCTGACAAGTCATGTAGGTCCGCACCTAGAAACCAAACCCAGGCCGCCCAAGCAGAGCACACCAAACTTAACCACTAGGCCACTGGGCCGGCCCCCAGAGTCTGTATTCTTAACCACCACACTAAGACTTGGAAGCAGGCCTTTTGGCTCATTTCAGCGTCTCATTTTAGCCCCCTGATAAGTTCCCTCCCTGAGAATTCCAGTTTCAGGGCCTGGATGCCTTCCTGGCCGCCCACCCCCCCGTACTGACAGAGTCTCCATCTCCCTGCAGGCACCGGGAGCCTGGCTGCCGCAGTGGAAACAGCCTCGGGCCGCCAGGCCCTGGTGGTGGGCAAGCCCAGCCCCTACATGTTCGAGTGCATCACAGAGCACTTCAGCGTGGACCCCGCCCGCATGCTCATGGTGGGCGACCGCCTGGAGACCGACATCCTCTTCGGCCACCGCTGCGGCATGACCACCGTGCTCACGCTTACGGGCGTCTCCCGCCTGGAGGAGGCCGAGGCCTACCTGGCGGCCGGCCAGCAGGACCTCGTGCCCCATTACTATGTGGAGAGCGTTGCGGACTTGATGGAGGGGTTGGAGGACTGAGCCCACCCGGCCTGCAACCGGGGCCCCACCCCTCCCCCTCCCTGATCCCACAGATGGAGGCGATGGGCCGAGGGCCACATTAAGCGCCACCAGCTCCCTGGCCCTACTTTCTGCACCCTGGTGGGGCTGGGACCCAGGGAGGTTTTAGGGCCCTTGTACCCCTTCCTAGCGGTGGCTGGGTGCTCTTTACTGTCCCAGAAGCTGCCCCCCTCCCCCACCGGTTCACCCTGGCCTGACCCAGCCAGGTGGCCCTATTTCCTGCCCTGTGACCTCCCCTCCCTGAAATCTGGGCCCTGATGCCGGCTGAAGATTCCCCCAACCCTGAGCACTTAACCCCCTACCCTGCCCTGGGACTGCAGACCTCCACCTGCCCCTCCGTCCTGGCCTTGGGGTCCTGCTGACCAATCAGAGGTCTAGGCTCCCATGAACCTTTGTTGTCTTGAGCCGTGAATGGACCAGTCAGAAGGCAAATGACAGCCGCACTGATGGGTCCTAAGTGGACCAATTGGGAGCCTAAGTAACAGTGATCCTCTGATGTCCTGGAGCCTGAGTGGACCAATCAGGACACCAGGTAATAATGACCCATTGGTCACTTAGATCCTGAATAGAACAATCCAGAAGTCAGAGAGACAGCGGCCTCTTGACAATCTGGGTCTGACTGAACCAGCCAGGGGTCCAGATTTCTGTTGAGAAATAAGGGTCCAAGTGCTGAAAACACCCCTCCTCCACAGATCACGATCCAGGGGGGCCCTCAGTGGCTCTGGGGGCTTCTGTAGCCAGGAGCCCTGCCCTTCCCTGATCGTGGTACTAGTCCAGTGCTGATGGCGGCCACAGCTCAGGAGGGGGGGCTTTTGTGTCCCTCCATGTGTTGCCAGTGTTTGCTGTGCCACCTCTGCCCCGTGCCCACCCCCAGCTATTTATTTATTTATTATGGTGTGCCAGTGATGGTGGGGGTGGGGGCTGGGCCTCCCCCACTGCCTCCACCCCTGTTGTAACCAGTCCTCCTGGACTTAATAAAGTGTGAGTGGGAATGTGTGTGGGGTCAAGTCTGTGGGCGGGATGGGGCGGGGCAGGAGGAAGAGCTCCCTAGAATGGGCCCACCAAGACGTTCCTCTGCATGAAACGATCCAACCCAGTTCCAGAGTGTTCTTTGTGCAGGAGCATCTTGACTCAATAGCACTTCATGCCTCCCTGAGTCTTTACCTACCAGTTTGTTTCAGTCCTTCGGAAAACCCAGCAAGCTTGTATTCCTCATCCCATTTTACTACTTGGGAACTGAGGACCAGAAACACGACGTTAGCTTACACAAGAGCACACGTCTAGAAAGCGTGCTCCCCTGAGGCAGTATTTGAACCTGTGTCGGCTGACTCCAGGAGGCTGCAGCCCCCTCTCTGTAGAACCTGAGGGGGAGACAGGTCCTCGCTGTCTGGGAGCTCAGGTGAGATGCTGCGGGGGCCCTCCTTCAGGCATCCTTCTCTTGGGGGATGCTGCTGTGACTGTCTGCCCCACCGGCCCCACATCGCTCCATCCCAGTGCCTCCTGCAGAGCAGGTGCTCCGCCATCAGCTGGCAGAGGGGCAGCCCAGAAAGGCCCACAGATGCTGTGTGGGGAGGTGCCGTGGCTGTTCCAGGCCTGACTATTGCTCATTCACTTGTCACTTGAGCTTGTATGGGCCCCTTCCTGCTCAGCCTGTTTCCTCATTTGTAGAGCGAGGGGTGGGACTTCACGGTCTGGAAGACTCTCCCCAGTGAGATTCTCCTTGGGAGAGGGAGTGCTTGATGGAGCTTGGCTGCGTCTTGACATGGAGCAGATGTGCACTCTCGAGACTTCTGGCTGCAACAGAGACTCAGTCAACCTGCTAAGACACAGGGGTCTATTGGCTGCCCTGTGAGGTGGTCCAGCAGCCTCCGGGTGTGTCTCTTAGCTGTGATGCCTTCCAGACGGTGGGTGCCTCTCACTGGACCAGCATCCCAGGGCAGACTCATCGTCCTGGCTGGGGTCACATGCCCATCTCAGAACTGTGCCCAGGGGTGTAGAGCACAGCTCTTGGCCAGCCCGGGTCATGTGCCCCGCTGATGAGGGGAGTGCTTGCCCCCCTGGCCCCACTCTGGACCTCGCAGCCACTCCCCACCTTCTTCCTTGCTGACAGAATCCCGATTTCCTGCAGGGGAGCACATGGTGGGGTGAGGCACCCAGTCCCAGGTAGTGACTCTCTAGTGGCTTAAAGCTTGAGTCTAAACCAGTCATGGTTGAGTCCTTCCAGTGGGTGATTAGTTTAGCCATGGACTTGTGATGCGCTTCTGAGGGGAGGTCTTCTGGGAGATTCTGGGAATGTTTGCCTCACTTTTCAAGGACATGGAGGAAAGACTCGCTTTTCTGGGGTGTGGGTGTGGAAGCTGTTGCAGCCATTTTGTGATCATGAGGTGTGACCCAGCAGATTTCTCTGCTTTGTGACTCTGCTTCAGGTGGCAGAGCAGAAAGATGGGAAGAACTTGTTGGGATTGTTCCCCCCGCCCCGTTTTAATTTAAATGAGTTTCAAACCGACAGAAAAAATGCAAGAACAGCACAATGAACGCCCATATGCCCTTCACCTGGATTCCCAGTTGTTAATATTTCAGGAAGCTGATGGCCCTGATCCACGAAATGAAACAGCTCCTGCGCATTATACCCCCTGGTTTCAGTAGTTTCCTGGTTTTGCCCTCCCCCTATGCTGGTGACTTTCTTCATGACCAGAGGCCTTAGAGGTACTCTCTGTTGTCTCTGCATAATTTTTCCCTTTGGGGTTGGCTTTGAGGCGAGTGGCTGAAGCTCATACTCACTGAAATCTGAGCTTGGCCCAGCATCAAGGTCCCACCCAGCACTTTTTTTATTTCATTTTTGCTGTTACTGATAACCATAACCAAGGGCCTGTACACTTCACTTTTTTCACATTTCCTTATGCATCTGGTAAAGCAGCTCCTGGGGGTTGGAGCCATCTCTAGATTCCACTGGAAACTCTTACCTTCAGTAACTGAGTGACACAGCTTCTGCTCCGGACCAGGGGTGACCACATGGCCGCCCAGGAATCAGAAGTTCCTCATCCCCCGCCCTTTCACCCTTTCTCTTCCCAAACCACATGTTTCCATGAGCCAGGGCCACTCTAGCAAATCCCCTTCTCTGATACCAACTAAGAGGGAAAACTGTTTCCTCCAACCACAGAATACTTCTGACACCGACTGTGGGTTTTCTGCACCAAGCAATTCTGTGGTTTCCTGCGGACACCAACCGGGTGTCCTGCAACTTAATTCAATTCTGCCACTACCCGGAGTTAGCGTGGACCCCACGGGTTAAGGGCGCAGTCCCACAAGACTGCCCTCCGCTTCAGATGCCAGTCACAAGTCCTAGGTTGTCACCTGCACTTCTGACCAACTGGCTATAAATCAGGGGTTCCCACAACCCCCTTCTCAGTTTTGATAATTTGCTCTAGCAGCTCACAAAACTCAGGGACACACTTAGGTTACCAGTTGATTATGAAGGATATGATACAGGATGCAGATGAACAGCTAGGCGAAGAGATGCAGAGGGTGAGGTCCAGAAGGGTCCCGAGTGCAGCAGCTTCTGTCCCCGTGGAGTTGGGTGTGCCACCCTCCCGGCAGGCAGATGTGTTCACCAACTCCGAAGCTTCCCCAAACCTGTAGTTTAGGGATTTTTATGGAGGTTTCATCGTGTAGGGATGATCAATCAGAACTCAATCTCCAGCCCCTCTCCCCGAGGATGGGGGGTGGGGCTGAAAGTTCCAACCCTCTGCTCATGGCTTGGTCTTTCTGGTGACCAGCCCTCATGCTGAAGCCATCCAGGAGCCCACCCGGAGACACCTCATTAGAGCAAAAGACGCTCCTGTCACCCAGGAAATTCCAAGGCACTTAGAAGCCCTATGTCAGGAACTGGGGTCAAAGACCAAATATTAGAACACAAGATGCTCTTAGCACCCTAGCACCTAGGAAATTACAAGGGTTTTAGGAGCTCTGGGTCAGGAACTGGGGTCAGAGACCAAATATACATTTCTTATTATGTCACACTCCGCTTCTAATTTAAACTTTTAATTTAGACAAGTTCCAAACCAACAGAAAAGGCGCAAGGACAGCACGACGAACACCCACGTGCCCTTCGTCTGGATTCCCAGTTGTTAATATTTGCCCAATTTGCTTAATTGCTCTTGATATATATTTACATTTTTAAACTGATTCATTGGAGAGGACATTGCAGATGTAAAGACAGTTCATCCCAAATACTTCAGCTCATCTGCCTAAGCAAGGACTAATCGTGGATTACGGCTGTGCAGAAGAGCATGGACCGTCTCCCCGGCCACAATCCCTGATCAGACAGAAACCCAGATCTTGGATGATTTCATGGAGCCACTGAATTAAGCTGTCCTGGAAACCTCTTAGTGCCAGACTTCTTGTTATACGAAAGTTTTCCTTAATTTTAAAGCAATTTGTTGATTTTTCTGTTACTTGCAGCCAAAAACTCTCCTAATAACACAGGCCCCAGGCCCATGATAGAAAACATTAAAATGCATCCATATCCCACCTTAAATATATATATATAGGGGTTTGTGGGGTTTTTTGCTACACTTTTTCTTTTCTTTTCTTTTTGTGAGATCAGCCCTGTGCTAACATCTGCCAATCCTCCTCTTTTTTTTTTTTTTTTTTGGCTGAGGAAGACTGGCCCTGGGCTAACATCCATGCCCATCCTCCTCCACTTTATATGGGATGCCACCACAGCATAGCTTGCCAAGCAGTGCGTTGGTGCGTGCCCGGGATCCAAACCGGCGAACCCCGGGCCACCGCAGCAGAGCGCGCTCACTTAACCGCTTGCACCACCGGGCCGGCCCCGTTACACATTTTTCAGTTGTGTGTGTGTGTGTGCGGAAGATTAGCTCTGAGCTAACATCAGTTGCCAATCTTCCTCTTTTTGATGAGGAAGACTGGCCCTGGGCTAACATCCGTGCCCATCTTCCTCCACTTTATATGTGGGACGCTGCCACAGCATGGCCTGACAAGGGTGCGTAGGTCCACGCCCGGGATCCGAACCCGCGAACTCCAGGCCGCCGAAGCAGATGCTGCGCCACCAGGCCAGCCCCTCAAGGTATTTTTATACTTTTGTTTTAGACGTTATTTGGCTGTGGGGATCTAATTTAGGGGTGACCAACCTCTAGGAATACGTGGGACACTTTCTTTTTTTTTTTTTTTTTTTAAAAATTTTTTTTTTTTTTTTTTTAAAAGATTTTATTTATTTTATTTTTTCCCCCCAAAGCCCCAGTAGATAGTTGTATGTCATAGCTGCACATCCTTCTAGTTGCTGTATGTGGAACTCGGCCTCAGGATGGACGGAGAAGTGGTGCCTCAATGCACACCCGGGATCCGAACCCGGGCCACCAGCATTGCAGCGCACGCACTTAACCACCAAGCCACAGGGCCGGCCCGGGACACTTTCAAAGTAAGTAAATTCAACCTACAAAATTGTTTTCGAATGTAATACAGTTTTTATGACTACCAAGTTTTAAGTTGGAGCACAGTAAACACTTATGAATTTCAGCTCTGCAATTTTAGTATTTTGGAGCCAACACATTTTTTTCCTCAGGTCTCAAATATTTTCTAAGCTCTTAAAAAGCTCTTAGTTTCCTGTGAGTCTATAATTATTTCAAAAGAAAATATTAAAAAAAAAAAAACAGAACGGACTCATGCCTGAGCCCTGGAGGGCTAATGAATGACAGAGTCTGGACCCTGCCCAGACCTCATATGAGAGGAAGAGCGGGTCCCCAAAGGCAAGCAGCGGCCTGTATTCAGAAGGGGGACAGACACCAGGTGGGAGGGCGAGAGTGACAGGTCCACTGTGTTTGAGGAGGAGGCTGTCTGGGCAGGGGGGACAGCACCAGCAAAGGCAGAGGTGAGAACGGATCAGCAGGTAAGTGGGGGAGGGCTCTCGCACAAACCAGCTGGAAAAGTGCCTGAAGTTGGGGGCACCCCCCACTAGTCCTTCCTACCCTTCATGGAGCAGGATCCAGAAAAGATCGTTCTTGAGGTCCAGGTACCCCAGGAGCACAGTGTGCTTTCCCTGGCTTAGGAGATGAAAGGGCTTCAGCGCTAGCTCCCTGTGTGACCTTGGCCAAGCGGCCACTCTTGCTGCTAGTTTCTGCATCATTAAATGAAGGAGCAGGTCAGGTGCAGTATCTCTGCAGTCCCTCCCTGCTCTGACTTCTAGGACTCTGGAGCTGGCTCTGATCAGCCCCACCTTCCCGGGCCAGGCCAGCCAGGTCTGCTGGGGGCTGCGGATGGTATCCTCGTGGGCCTGGCAGCCCTCCCCACCACTGCCAGCTGGAGGAGACGCAGCCTTCACAGAGAAAGAGCAGGAGCGGGCAGGGCAGGAGGACGCAGGCTAGGAAGGGCCTGGATCCCCAGTCCAAACGAGCTGCGCTCATTTCTCACGGCAGCAGCCAAGGTCCAGCCCGCAGGACCAGCCTGTAGAATAGAGGAATTCCAGAGAGCTCGCCGCCTCTGCTGCAGGGCGGTGAGAGAGGAGGAGAGTCCCCAGGGTGGGGGGCCTTGGCCTTGGGGGTTACAGGAGAGAGAACTAATGCTGAGTCCCACACATCACTCTTGTAATCTTCCAACCAGCTGGTGAGTGGGTAACATTCCCACATCCCCGGCCTGGAAACGGTTCAGAGAAGTCCAGGACCTTGGCCACAGTCACAGCCAGGCAACCCCAAATTAGGACTCGCCTCTCTTCTCCCAATTCTAACGTCAGCTTCGTTTCTGCACAGTTTCCCTGTGCAGACGTTCAACCCAGTTGGCAGACACGAAGCAGCGGGGAGGTGAGGAGGAAATGAGATAATGTATGAAAGCACGGCGCCGGGCACAGGGCCTGGCAGATAAGTGGGCGCCACCACTAGGAGACCCTGAGGACGGGGTGGGAGTGGGGTCACAGTGCACCTTGTCCCTGCCTCCCCCAGGAAAACCACAGTCCTTGTTATAGGGGACCCAGAATCTGGAGAGACTCTCTGCCAGCCTAGGCAGGAGGGGACTGTTGGGGATGAGGTGAGGGTGGGAGAGCCTGGGAAAACAGACAAGAGGGAGGCTAAAACCTTCTAAGACTGTGGAAAAAACAATCATCTATCGAGTACAACAGACCTGAACTCCACCCTGTACTAACCTTGTGCAGGAGAGCAGGGTTTCACCTCCCCAATTTACAGATGGGGAGACTGAGGCAAGCAGGGAGAGGCAACTTGCCAGGATGCCCTGGGGAGGGCATGGCAGAGCCAGGACCAGAATCCAAGTCTCCAGACTCCCAAAGGGGCCTTTCCACGGGGCCTATTCACAATGCCATGCCCCCTCTCTACCAGCCCTCAACTGGCCGGACCCTGGAGGGGAAGAAAGCAGCCCCTCATCCAATAGCAAACACTTCCTGGTGCTGGGCCAGTCTTCCAGGTTGGGGGAAGAATGGAGGAGCAGCTCTTGGGGCCCCGGGAGCCCCACTTATGGGCTGGAACAGGCAGCCAGGCCCACCTGATGGCAGTTGGGTAAGGACTGTGCCTGAAGCACCTCTGGTCCCCGGGCAGGACTCCTGCTGAAATGCCGCCATTTCTCCATCAGATGGAGAGGGTGTCTGGGCCCTTGGAGGGGGAGCACAGAGGAAAGGCAGCAGAGCTGGCCCCACCCGCCCCTGCCTATGCTGAGGTTTTGGGGAGGCCCTGGAGGAAAAGTGAAGCAGCTGCAGTTGGTTTCTGAGGCAGCCCGCTTGGAAGGGAGGAGGGGGGAGGGGCTTGCAGGGGGTGAGGCCCAGCCTCCTCCCCAGGCCTTCCCGTGGCCCCGTGCACTCCCCACTCCTCCTGTGCCAGGGTGGGCTTCAGTCCTCGGGAGGAGGGTGGGCTGGGGAGGCAGCGGAGGGCAAGGCTGGTTTGCTGGCCTGGCCTCCAGATGTGAGTCACTCCTGGTCTGCATCTTCCTCCCTCTTCGGTGCTGGCAGTTTCAGAAGGGGGATGGCAATGAGGAGAAGGAGGTCCCATTGACAACTCCCCTAGCAAGCCCCCTACCTCGCCCAGTGCTCCCCATGCCCCTCTCCCCACTGGTTCCTGGGTGCGAGGTGAGTACCCCTCCGACCCACCCTCAACTCTATTGCTACACTGATCTTCCCTGCAGCCCAAATCTGGCCTCAATACTCACCCTCCCTATAACCTTCTGTGGTTCCCCAGCACCCTCAGATAAAACAATGTCCAAGCCCCTCAATGAGGCCCTTCATGATCCAGGTACTCCTGGCCTCCCAGCCTCATGCGCCATCTTTCCCCAGCACACCCTGAACTCCAGCCATGCCCCGATGCTCACAGTCCCTAGACCCATGCTTTCTCATTTCTGAGCCTTTGCCCATGCTGGAACACCAGTCTCTCCTTCTGCACTCATCCTTCAAGACTCGCCTTCTTCACATTCTGGACAGTCTCCACCCCACCGTGGTGCTTGCTCATGACTTCCCTTAGAGCCAGCATCACACCAGTTCTTGGTTAGTTTCATGGCCAGATTCTGCCCCAGCAATGGGCTACCTGAGCAGGGACTGGGAGGGTTTCATCTTGGAATCCTCTGAGGCCAGCTCAGGGCCAGGACACACGGTAGGTGCCCAGTAAAATATCTGCTAACCGGTTGGGGAAAGGAAAGGCCTGGCCTTGGAGGCAGAGATGTGAGGAGAGTGGGCAGGGGGTGCCCAGAGCAGGGACCCCCAACCCCTCCTGGCCTGGCCCACCCTGGGCCCCCTCCCAGGCCTGACCCTCTCAGACAGGTCAGAGCCTGTCAGGCAGGGGCTCTTGGAGGATCCCCAACCAGCCCCTCAGAAGTGCTGAAGCCCGAGGCCTGAGCCCCAAGTCTGGCGGCCGCATCAGGCCTGGCACGGGCCCAGCACAGCGGCAGACACGAGCCCTGCTTCCGGGGGAGGCCAGGGTGGGGCCTTGTGGTTAATGGGTCCCGGGCCTCTGCAGAGGTCTGCAGAGCGGGCCACGCCCTGGTCCCTGCCAGGGGCAGCCTCAGGAGCCCCAGCTCGAATTCCCTGAAGGACCCTGCACCCCCTCAGCCATCTTCTCTGGGTACCCCCTGAGCTCAGCCTGCTGGCCCCAGGCCCCCTTCCCGCCAACTCCTGGGCCTAGCTCATCCTCAAACTATTTTCCATTGGCTTCCCCCAATCCCCACCACAGCACAATTTATGGGGGGGTAGGGAGGGATGAAGGAGAACGGGAGGTGGAGCCTGGACCCTGGAGGAGTGACTAAGAAGGAGTGGGGGGGTGTCCACTCTGATTGGTCACCTCTGCTCCAGAACCAGCTTCAGAATTCCATTGACTCTGCCTCCAGTGGCCCCCATCCCTTTCCTGACTTACAATTGGCTGAGCTTCCAAGGGGCGGGGCTCACCAGGGTCTGGTCCAGTTAAAAGGGCGAGAGCCGCCCAGGGCCCATCTCTCCGGTGGAGTCTTCAGACAGCTGGTGCCGCAGTCCCCAGGAACATCCTCGAGTCCTCAGTCATGGCTTGCGTGAGTGTGGGGACCCCGCCCCAAGGCCCAGGGATGGTGGGGGCAGACAGCCAGGGGAGAGTGGGGGCAGATCAGGATCTGGGTTCTAGTCCCCACGGTGTGGTCCTGAGCAAGTACCTTTTCTTTTCTGGGCCCAGTGGCCGCATCTGTAAAATGGGGGTGGGCGCCATGGTCCCCCAATGCCTTCTCTGGCTTAAGAATTTTCTGATTCCTCCAGGGTCTGACAGCACAGTTTTTTCTGCCAAGGTCTGACATTTCTGCAGCTCTCTGAGAAATGGGAGTGGGAAGGGTGTGGCCAACTGGGGGGGGGCACTTTGGACTCCCAGGCCACTGTTCCTTCCCCCTCCTCCTCCACTCCAAAGAGCCTCCTGTCCCCTCCCCCCTGCAGCTGTCCCCAGTTACCAGCCAGGGCAGAGTCACCCTCTGCTCTAGAGAGCTCTGAAAAGTCGCCAGGATCTGAGAGGCTGTCTGGGAGGGGGCCTGCCTGGGTTAGTGGGTGGAGGGTGGTTCTGTCCAGGCCGGTCAGGCGAAGGCTGGGGGAATTCCCCACCACCCACTCCCACAAGCTGGGAGGTCAGGAGCTAAGGGAGAGAGAAGGAGGCAAGAATCTTCTAGGCCCCAAGGGAAAGAGTTCAAATTTCTGGCAGAAGGAACCACTCGCACTGATTAAGCTCAGGGCTCAATCTTGTTAACCCTAAGCCAGCCAGGCTGCAGACTCCAGCTCTTGGCGGCTCTCCCCTTCTGCAGAGGGTGCAGAGCTCCTTAGGGGTCTCCTCCCCAGCCCCTGCACCTCTCTGCACAGAGGAGCCGGCTCCAAGGGGCTGGTTGGGGATCCCCCAGCTGCAGGCCTCTTCTTCTCCAGCAGAGGAGCAGACCCCTTCGTTTACCTTGCTTTGCCACCAACTCGCAGTGTGACTCACCCTGAATCTGGTTTCTCTCCATCTGTTAAGTGAGGCGATGGGGCATAGCACCCTAGGCCACTCTGAATCCAAAATCCCCAAGCTGAACTGCACAAAGTTCTAGATCTTGGCTTCTAGAACCTCAGTTGTGTTACACACAGGAAACCGACCTGGTTAGGAATAGGCACTTGCCCAGGGCCACACAGAGAAAGAGAAGCTAGAACTGGCACCCAGGTTCTCCAGGCTTCCAGCTGGCCTGGTCAGAGGATCCAGGGTGGGGACGACCTCCGCCCCACCCCACCCCACCCTGGACAGGGTCTTCTGACCGGCTGGGTGTGGTCTTGTCTGCGCAGGGTCTGGTCGCCAGCAACCTGAATCTCAAACCCGGGGAGTGCGTCAGAGTGCGGGGCGAGGTGACCCCCGACGCCAAGAGGTGAGGGGGCGAAGGCGGGGCGGCGGGGGATCGGAGCCCGAGGGCCCTGCCCCGCGTCTGGTAGGTGCGTGGCTGGCCAGGCCCCGCTCCTCCCTGGGGGGAAGGGGTTAAAGCCGGCGGCCGCTGAGGCTGCGTTGTCCAGATGAGTCACTTCCTCCGCAGGGTCTGGACCATTCCTCCGCCGGCACCATTGTCGCCCCCTTCCCTCCAGCTGGAGCCTCTTAAACTAAACCAGCTGCGGCCTCACCTACCTTGGCTGCCCCCCCCACCCCGGCCCCCGGCCCCCGCTGTGGGCGGGACCTGAGGCTGCGGGGGACGGGAAGAGGGGATGGGAGGGTGTCACTCCCTGCTCTCCTCTGAGGTCCCTCTCTCCTGCGTTCCTCACTCACTCAACCTTTCATTCCTTCGTCCTTCCTTCACCCATCAGTAATTCAGCAGCAACCATGTGACCTTGGACCAGTCACCCGACCACACCGATCCTGGGTGTTAATCAGTTAATGGGGGGAGAGGTGGTTGTGTAGAGGCAGTGAGATGCTGGGTTTCTCAGTAAGTGTGCTGATGACCCCGATAACGCGATAAAGAGTTGCACATCCCCTGTGCGCTGTTCATATGATTCTTAGGAAGCCCTCGGAGCTGGGCGTGGCTCTTATCTCCACCCGGCACATGTATTATTAATTATTATTTGTTCATTCGCTGCCTCATGGTTATTGAGCACCTACTGTGTGTCGTGCATCATGCCGGGCACCAGGGGTACAGAGATATACAGGACAGACAGGACCTTGGATCAGTCACCTGACCACACCGATCCTGGGTGTTAATCAGTTAATGGGGGGAGAGGTGGTTGTGCAGAGGAAGTGAGATGCTGGGTTTCTCAATAACGGTGCTAATGACCGCGATAACGTGATAAAGAGTTGCACACCCCCTGTGCGCTGTTCATATGATTCTTAGGAAGCCCTCGGAGCTGGGCGTGGCTCTTATCTCCACCCGGCACATGTATTATTAATGATTATTTGTTCATTCGCTGCCTCACGGTTATTGAGCACCTACTGTGTGTCGTGCATCATGCCGGGCACCAGGGGTACAGAGATATACAGGACAGACAGGACACTTGCCCTCCCGGAGGTCGCCATCTAGAGGGAGTCTCCGACCTTGACCCAAGGGGCTGGGACACAAACTAATGTTTGTGAGAGCCTTGGCTGTCAGCCCAGCAAGACTCTAAGAGGGCCTTCTTGTGCAGCCCCCATTGTGCAGAGGAAACTGAGACCCAGAGAGGAGCAGGGACTTGCTCAAGGTCACACAACAAGGAGGTGGCAGGGCCAGAACTAGAATCCAGGTTTCCTCCTCCCCGCTAAGGGAGTCCTCCCGGCTAGGAGTATTAGTGGGGTACCGAGCGGTGCCGACCGCGGGGGCTGCAGCAGGCTGAGGAGGCCTCAATCCCACCTGTTGCCCCTAGCTTTGCGCTGAACCTGGGCAAAGACAACGACAACCTGTGCCTGCACTTCAACCCTCGCTTCAACATGCACGGGGACACCAACATCATCGTGTGTAACAGCAGGGATGGCGGGGCCTGGGGCGCCGAGCAGCGGGAGTCGGCCTTCCCCTTCCAGCCCGGGAGTGTCGTGGAGGTGGGCTGGGGCTGGGGGCCAGGGGCAGGGTGCTGCGGGGACTGGGGCGGGGCTGGGTTTAGTGGCCAGAGACCTAGGTCCCACCATGCCCTCCCCACCTTTCCCCCCTCTCCCCTCCTGTCTCCCCCCTCACCTGCTGTGTGATCCCAGTGAGTGTTGTCCCCTCTCCCAGCCTCAGCAGCTCACCCGTGAAGTGGGGTCAGGGCCGCGTGAGGAAAGGGCTCGGGGAGGGCCCGTAACCTGCCGCCGTCGCCCCTGCTGTGGGGTCCACGCTGCTCACTGCCCTTCTCCACCGCCAGGTGTGCATCTCCTTCAACCAGGCGGACCTGACCATCAAGCTGCCAGACGGATACTCGTTCAAGTTCCCCAACCGCCTCAACCTGGAGGCCATCAACTACCTGTCAGCCAACGGCGACTTCAAGATCAAGTGCGTGGCCTTTGAGTGAAGCCAGCTGGCCCATGGCCCCCAATAAAGGCAGCTGCCTCTTCTCCCCCTGAACCAGCCTCCTGTGTGTGGGGGGGTGAAGAGGGGGGTTCCGCCAGCACCCCCAGGCTCTGCCCCTTCCTGCACTTCATTCACTTCCTCAATGCACTAAGTGCCAGTGACATCTCCTCCCCTGGGTCCCCTGGGCCAAGCAGAGGGCTCAGGACACGGTAGAGGGCTCGGTGACTACCAGATAAGACCCAGTCCCTGCCCTCAGACAGCTCCCAGCCCAGCGGGCCCCAGCACACAGTAGGTGTCCAAAAGACGTTGAATAAAGGAAACCAGGGGCCAAGAGGCCAGGACAAGATGGATCCATGCCCTGGTGTCCGGGGCAGCACAGAGGGGGGTGGAGGGAAGGATGACTGGGGTCCCTCTCATCTGTTTTCATGAGCTAGAAAGAGAGCTGGTTCAGACAGTGTGGGGCTACCAGCTGTGTGGCCTTGGGCACATTAACCTCTCTGAGCCTCGATTTAGTCATCTATACAAGGCGATACCAGCACGTAGCCTATCGTAGGGTTGTTGTGAGGACTCAATGAGCCGTGAGGAGGAGGACAGATTTAGTGGCTGGGAAACGCTTAGCGGGTAGTGGTTTCCCGTCCCAGCTGCACCACCTCTTGAGATGTTATTACCCCAATTTGAAGGGGAGGGAACAGGCTCTGGGTAATGACATGACTCCCTGGTCTGTGCAGGCCCCGCTGAGCCTTGTGGGGCTCCCCAGGCACATACCCCAGTGCTGGAGTGTAAGGGCGGCTAGGGTGCTAGTCTAGAAACTGCTGGCCCTGTGGCCCTGGGCAGGACCCTCAACCCAACACTGGGCAGATGGGCTTGGGCGATAGCCCTGGCACCAACCGCTGGCCTGTCTCTGTATAGGAGGAACTGGGGTGTGGGGTGTAGGGGGGGATATGCCAGCCCCTGCAGAGAACCAAGAATTAGAGGCAGGCGGCCGGCTTGAAGCCCAGCCTCCAGGCTCCCAGAGGCCTCCTGCTGCCCACAGCCTCCTCCCTGGAGAGCAAAGGAGTGTGGGAGACTCCCTTGGCTGAGCCTCTCCTCTCCTGGTTTCCAGAGAGGATGTGTCTTCCAAGACCAGCCAGGCTCTGGTACCCAGGAGCGCAATGCTCAACCCAGCCCACCACCCTCACATCACGAGGGACGGGACCTGAGCTGATGCCTGGGCCACCCTGCAGACTGACCACTTCTCTGCACCTTCTCCTTCCTGCTCCCTGCTGCAGGGCCCCTACCTCCCCGGGAAACAGTCCCTGGAGACTGAGCCAATATTCTGGACAGCTTAGAATCAGAACCTCAGTGGGATCCCCAGGACCCCAGGGCACTGTCTCCTGAGGGGTGTGTAGGGCAGGGGCTTGGCGAATCTCCCTCTCCAGGACAGCCGGCACCAGCTGTGGCACCCTGGGTAGGTCTCCTTCACCGCCAGCCTTAGTTTCCTCAACTGTAAACTAGGAGTCATTATTCGTCCCTGGGTCCCTTTGGGTGGATGATTCCCATTTCAGTGGATCCCCTGGGGGCATATCTCTACAAGAGGGCCAAGGAGGCTGGAGCGCACAGGCTAGGGGCTGCCATGAGCCACACCCAATCTCCAGGCTCTCCTGGGGCACCCAAGTGGCCACCCAGGGAGAAACAGCTTTGGAAGGCCGGCGGTGGAGGGGCGCCCTCTGCTGGACATTGGAGAAAGTGTCCCCCTCAGCTGCCTTTCTCTGGTCCCCACAGTTCACTCACACTGATTCTCCCTACGCTGGCTGAACACCCACAATACTGGACTGGGACTACAAGGGGGCAGAGGAACGCCCCGGGGCAGATAAGGAGAGAGACCACAGGTGTGAAGGAACGAAATTAGGCTCGGAGTCAGACAGACCTCTGTTCAAACCCCAGCTCCATCACTGTGTGCCCTAGGACCAGTTACTCAACCTCTCTGAACCTCAGTTCCCTCATCTATCAAATTGCATTAATACCAGTATCTACCCTGTGGTTTGTTGCAAGGATTAGCTGAGATAACATAGAGAAATGCATGGTGCCTGCACATAGTTGGGAGTCTGTAAATGTTGGTTTCCTTCACATCTTTAAGACTCGGTGTGTCCCCAGAGCCTATGAAACTGGGACCAGAGCACTAAGTAGAGCTCTGCCCTTGGACCACCTGGGCCCACCCTCAGCACTTGCTCTTCTTGCTGTGTGACCTCAGGCACATGACTGCACCTCTCTGAGCCTCAGTAAAATGGGGCTCATACCGCAAAAGAGAAAATTGTGTAAAGAGCTAAATAAACGGCAGCTGCTATTGTTATTCTTTTTGCTCATCATCATCATAATCATTTCTGTTAAGAGAACGTGCCATCTCTTGCTGTGCCTGGCACACAGTAGGTGATCAATAAACATAAGAATAATTTCAACGAGAAAACAACCCAAAAAGGGCGGCGGGTATTTTAGACTGTGAGCTGCAGTAAAGGGCTCTCAACCTTCTGGAATCTGGGTGGGGTTGCCAGACCCTCATCTTTCTTCCTCCGTCAAGGGGACTTGAAACTCCCTGGGGAGAGTTTGGAGCACCGGGGCACGCGCAAGGTGGCGGGATTCACTCTGCGCTGGGAGCTTTCGCAGACGAGGCCTCCCTGAGACCCGCGTGGCCGGCAGCTCAGGCTGCGTGGGCTGCAAGGACCCACATGAGATCCCGCAGGAGCAGCTGTCTCCTCACTCAGTCCCTGTCTCTGCGCCAGACTGGACACTCTGGGGGGGCAGAACCATGCGGCATACAGGGCAGCTGTCAGGGAGTGGCTCTGTACCCCACTTAGTAACTGGGTGACTTTGGTCGAGTCACCTCCCCTCTCTGAGCCTCCGCTTTCTCACCTGTATAATAGATGAAAGCAGCGCCAACCTCGCAGGGAGCTTGTGAGGACTGAGAACACCCTCAGCACAGTGGGAGAGTGAACAAACAAACCGTGGAGAGGAAAGGGGCCCAGGAAGGTTTACGATTTATCGAGTCGGGTGGCAGACCCTTCACTTTTCATCTACAGCCAGTCTGGGTTGGGAGTGGAGCCGGTAAATAGCAGGCACGGCCCAGAGACCCAGTGCCTGGGACTCAGAGGAGGCAGCCCACCTCGGCAATGCTTCTACCGAGAGGGAGGGTGCCAAGGGTGGCATCAGGGCATGGCCACTAGGGGGCGGAGGGAAAGAGGGGCAGTTGCTTATCACCCTGAGGCCCCACCCTTCAGGCAGCTCCCTGCTCTACCTGGGTTTGAGGGATAACTTCCTCTCAGCACCCAACATGGAGGCCCCCAGGGAGAGGACCCTCAGGGAACGGTTCACATTGATGGAGAGATGCACCCACTGTGTGCCTCACTCCTTCCAAAACTCACGGTCAGAGCCTGCCTCTTGCCCTCCAGAGGAGGCATGCTAGCTCCTGGGAGAGTGATCCCTCAGGCCAGCCGCCCAGGATGCTGGGCCATGAGGCCAGAGACCCAGGGTCAAGTCCCAGCTGTGCCAGAGAGCAGCAGTGTGACCCTGGACAAGTCGCTTCCCCTCTCTGAGATAACAGTTCCCTTCTCTGCACACCTGGCACACAGTAGGCACTCGCTACCTGTGCACTTACTTGCTCTCTGGGCTCCAGTCGCTTGTCAAAGGAGGGGGTTGGGTCCTAAGATCTGTTATTCCTCTGGTATCCCCACTCTAGGCCAGTTCTGGGGTCACCTCCTCTGGGAAGCCCTCCACACTGGGGAAGCCAACCCCAAGCTCCTGCAGCCTCCTGTGCTTCTCGCCGCAAAGCTTTCATCCCCTGGACTAACGATCACTGACCCTGCTGGACCGCCAGTCCTTCAAGGCCAGGGCGGCAGCTTGTCTGCAGCAGCCAGCACAGGTGGGTTGAGGGTGGGGGACTCAGGCATGCAATCCCCGTTACTAAAATTCTCCTTCGGGGGCTGGCCCTCTGCCGTAGCAGTTAAATGCTCACGCTCCGCTGCTGGCGGCCCGGGTTCGGATCCTGGGCGCGCACCGAGGCACTGCTTGTCAGGTCATGCTGTGGCAGCCTCCCATATAAAGTGGAGGAAGATGGGCACGGATGTTAGCTCAGGGCCAGTCTTCCTTAGCAAAAAGAGAAGGAATGGCATGGATGTTAGCTCAGAGCTGATCTTCCTCACAAAAAAAAAAAATTCCCCTTGGGTGTTGTTTTACTGAGTGCCTTCACATTCGTGCCCTCATTTTCAGTAGAGGATGTGTTACCACACCCCCATTCCATACTTGGGGAAACTGAGGCACAGGCAGGGGAGATGGCTTGCGTAGCAAACACATGTGCGGCATGTATTATGTTATACACATGTTACATGATTCACTTATTCCTCACAATCATAGTCTCAAAGTTTGGTCTGTGGACCAGCAACCTCAGCATCACCTGAGAATTTGTTAGAAATGCAAATCACTCTAGACCTGCTGAATCAGAAGCTCTGGGGTGGGGCCAGAGGATCCGGGTTTCAGCAAGCCCCCCAAGGGATTCTGACGCACACCGAAGTCTGAAAACCACTGCCTTACCATAACCCTACAAAGTCACTATAATTGTCCCCATTTTACAAATAGGGTAACTGAGGCACAGCGAAGGCAACCGGTCCAAGACCACGGAGCTCTAAGTGGGGTACCAGGATTCTAATTCAGGTAGTTTAGCTCCAGAAACATGCTCTTGGAGACCACCAAAGAGCTGACATCAGAATCAAAAGTAGGATCAGCAATCTTTGGCCATTCAGTAATAACTCCGCATTGAGCGCCTACGTGTTCCAGGCACCGTGCGCGTCGCTGGGACCTCGGGGCCTCGCTCTCATGCTCTCACCGTTGCTAGTCTAGTAGGGCTGGGAGTCGCCGAGGCGGCAGGGATCTGTGCGTTACAGCGGCGGGGGGGG